TCATGGAGCCTTTGCTCTTGGGCCCCCCCCAATCATTTTTCGCCCAACAACAACCAACGCTCCCCTCCTCGACCCGGCATCCCCCACTCATGGAGCCTATGTTCTTGGGGCCCCCCATCCCACGATTTCTATACAAAAAACACTTAGAGCCTCCCTTCTCGCCCCGGCATCCCCCACCCATGGAGCTTCTGTTCTCAGGGCCCCGCACCCCGCGATTTGTCGCCCAAAAACGACGACCAACGGACCCCTCCTCGCCCCGGCATCCTCCGCTTATGGAGCCTCTGTACTTGGGCCCCCCACCCCGCGATTTCTCATTCAAAAACGACCAGCGCCCCCCTCCTCGCCCCGGCATCCCCCACTCATGGAGCCTTTGTTCTTGGGGACCCCCGGCCCGCGATTTCTGGCTCTCAAACGACCGTCGCCCCCCTCCTCTCCCCGGCATCCCCCGCTCATGGAGCCTCTGTTCTTGGCCCCCCCCACCCCGCGATTTCTCACCCAAGAACGATCGGCGCCCCCCTCCTCGCCCGGGCACCCCGCTCATGCAGCCTCTCTTTTTGGGCCCCCCACCCCGCGCCCCACGATTTGTCACCCTCGATCGTGCGCGCCCTCGCGGTTCAAGGCGTTTCGTTGTTTTTTCGCCCTTTTTGCGCGTCCTGGGGCGCCATCGTCGCCAAGACCCGATCCGCCCCGAAAGAAAGTCAGCGACATTATGCACCCCGGGATGGGTCCCGGGGTCGACTTGCGCCCCCCAAGCCCAGACCCTCTCGCGTCGCGAAAAAAATGACGGGATTTGTTTTGTCTGGTGCTTTCGGTCCCCAGTGGCCCTCAATGGGCCCCGGGGCCGCCAACAAACAACTCGGAACCAAAAATCTGCCCTAAGGAAGTTCTCGGGACTTCCACAAACCGCGTATAGAAAGACTTTTTGTTTCGAGATCCCCACTAGAAAGTTGCAGTAAATGAAAAACGCATGAACCCTGCATGCTCGTAGGTATGTGTTGATGTCTGGTTTTAAAGCATGTTCTCCAAGTCTCTCTTTGATGCATGCTCTTGGTGATTGTTCTAGCTCTTGCTCAGACGTCGGGCGCTTCGAGAGGATGGGGGCGGCAAAATTTGGGCAACCTTCGGCCTCCTGAGGCCGCTTCTGGCCCCCGGTACTGTCGAAAAAACAGCGCAAGACGAAAAGCTGGCGCTGGGGAAGGGGGTCCAGACCTCTGGGGGGCCGACGCGTCGAAACAACTTGGAGCGCAAGATGTCTGGGACTAGAAAGCACTCCTCCCTCTGCCGGCTGCTGGCGCGACCACTGCCGTCTGCGACCCGCAGCGCGCCCCCCGCCGCGCACCGCCTGCAGCCCGCCCCGTGCTACGCACCACAACACTACGCACAAACCGAATATAGCGAAACTTTCCGTCGTGATGCTTTCGCGACGTCGGAGATCTAGGCCCCCCCTTTCCTCGAGGGAGGCGCGCGAATGTCAGGACCGGGCCTTGCGGGCGCCATGGCGGCGCCGGCCAGCGGCGACCCGGGAAGCGCGGGGGGAGGAGGCGCGAGCGAGAGAACCGCGGCGGCGCGGCGAGCGGGAGGCGGGCATTGGGGCGGGGCGGTGGCCGGCCGAGAGAGGGAGGGGGGGGGGGCGCGCTCCCTTCCCACGCCCCTATGGATCACGTGCTCCGTCTGTCCGCCGAGTGAGGGGGAGGGGGGGGGGAAGGTGGGGGGGCGGCGAGGAAGGATGCGGCATGGAGGAAGGCTGGCAAACAAAAAAACCCGAGGCGAGCGGAGACGGCTGTGCCCAACAGAACACGGGAGAGCCACGTGGCCCGGGGGGGCAGGGGTCAAGCTCCGCCGACGAGACTGGCGCGCGACCATGGCCTGCTGGCGCAGCGCGCCGCGGTTCACAGCTGGGCAAAACCGCGGTGCTGGGCAAACGCAACAAAAAACTCCGCCCTGATTTTGTCAGGAAGCCGGAAGGTCTGAGAATCCTCCTCTTCCCCCCCCCCCCCCTGGCGCCCCTCGAGGAGCTCGCCCCGGCTCCGCCCGGGCCCGGAAAGAGAGCGCGGGGAGGGGTCTCCAACAAACAATGATGGCACCCTGCATGGAGTCAGGGGAGGGAAGCGGGGGCAGGACCCGGACCTCCGACGTATCGAAAAAATTGAAATGAAGTGTATTATCGGCCTCCGGGAGGCCTCGCTGGGCCCCAGGACCGTCAAAAAAGAACTCCGCCGTCTGCAGATGCCCGAGGCGGCCTCCGCGCGGCCCAGAATGCCCCCTGCCAGACACATGCCCAAGAGAGCCACCCAGAGACAAACCTCGTCCCATCCCCTTAGGGTTACTACATGTCTGGCATCGGCGCCTTGTGGCTTGAGGGACTTTCACTTTTCAGCTCGTCGGAAGATGTTCGCCCTTCGCTCTGTTCCAAACGGCGCGATCTGCCCAGAATTTCAAGGCGGACCCCACCGTGACCACTAATTCCCAGATCTCCGACGTCTTGAACATATGCGCGAACCCCTTCGGCTGTCATCGGCGTGTGCGATGCGCCCCCTTTCCCCAAAGCCAGTCCAAACGGGCTCAACCACGTCCGCGACGGCTCACAAACCACACAAGAGCGCTCCAAACCAGCACAACAGGGCCCCACTGTCCTCCGCGAACTACCAAAACAAGGTCACCACAACAAACGCCACCGTGCCCGGCGAACACCGCCAAACACACACAAGGGCCCATCGCGCGTAGGAGCGCGAGCGTATATCCCAAGAGAACATGGAGATACATAAGCGCCACGGTCGAGGGGCCCACATGGGGTGCTGAAACCAAGGCCTTCCTGAAGACATCCTCATCACCATCTACTCTGGCGCACGCCGTCAAGCCTCCCTGTGGGCCGGCAGCAGGCGCAATCGTGATTCCGTGCTGCTTTGGACTTGCCTTGCCCGCGTCAAGCGTGGTCGACACTCGCAGCCGCAGCCGCCGTCGTCACGCCCCGGGGGTCCTCCCCAGCAGTATTAGTTTCGTCTCTGAGGCTCGAACCATCTGGACATCTGTTGGTACATCCGCTCCTTCTATAGGAAAGTTTCCACGCATCAAACAAATATTGCACACCGAGCACTCGAATGAACAGACACAAGGAAAAGAAATGCCAGCCGACGGAAGATAATAATCGGCCCAGAAAACGTTGCTTGCCCGAGGGCGCCGACCCGATGTGTTAGCCCCACGTTGCCCGCCCAGGCGGGCCCATGTCTTGTCGACCCCGGCGCTGGTTCCCGGCACCGCGGGGATCGCTCCACCTTGAACGGTCGGCAGCGACCCGAACGCTGGATCGTTCAACGTCAAGACGGCTCAAAAAAGCGCCAAGACGGCTCAAGAAGCGCCCCAAAAGTCGCCCAGCAAGGGAAGCCCACGCCGAACACTCGAGCATTCCGCCCCGCGGGAGGCAGGCCCCAAAACCACCTCCAACAGGCTTCAACAACGGACTCCAGGAACCCCCCGAGAGGGCTACCGCGAGATCCCACAGAAGACTGAGGAGACCTCTGACCCACAGCCTCAGCGCGATAGCGAGATGGGCAAGGGGCCATGGTGAGTCCATGCGTCCAGACTTTTGCGAAATGCTCAGCGTCTGTGAACGTTCCCACACTCTCGCTCGTCCTCGAGATCGTCACCGCTGACTACCTCTCGATTTTGACCCGTAATCTCTGGGGTCGGCGGCAGAGGCGGCAGCCTCTAAATAACCTCAACAGGACTGAACTACGGATCAAGGATGGGGAGCTGGAGCCATGGAATGGGCCCCGGGAACAACCACACAACTACCCCTGGGGTTGGGGATTTCGGACCTATCCTTCACTCAGACCCGCTCTGCCAACGCGCTCACTCGCTGTTCATAGGAAGGGGCCGCCCCTGATTCCGAAAAACTCGCCCTCGCAACCTTGGGGGCTGAGGCCCCACAAAAGTCAGGCGGGCCATGGCGAAGCCTAGACACGGGAACGGCCCTACCATCAACGCTTACACACGCATGTGGGGGCACCTGCCCTTGCGCGCGATTCCTCGGGCCTCCTTGCCTTTACGGGCTGGGGTCTCACAGGGGCGGCCTAGCTTCTCAAGTTGCGATTGCGGCCAACCCCCGCGCTTGAGATAAACGACGGTCTGCGCTCGAACAGTGCAAACCGACTGCCCCGAGGGCTCGCCGCCAGTTTGTCGTGCCAGGCCCGCAACAGCGACGAGGGAATGGCCGAGGGGGTTCGAGAGCAGCCTACTCAGGAAACAGGGGGGCTACATCAATCGAAGGGCACAGAGTCTAACGATCCTTTCGCCACAACCAAACACGTGGCGCACTGGGGGCCCAACCCTCCTTGCTGCCGCGAGTGCCAGATGCGTTGCCGCCTTGAGCGGTCAGCGCGGAAACAAGTGGGCCTTTTCCACCTGACGTCATGTGGGAAAAGTGGCAGGATGCGCGCAGCTAATTTCATGAAGCTCTGAGCTCTGGTGGCAGCGAGATTGGCGCCATGAGTCGACGCTGGGCCCGCGGCAGGCCGCATGGCAAGGGCGGCCTTTGCCTGGCGGTCGACCGACGCATTGGCAGCGGCAAAGAAAGGATCTAAACCTCCTAGCTGGCTGATATTTTCCTCCGAACGGCGGGCTTGACGCGGCGCGCAGACTGAAAAAAAAAAGGCGTCCACGAGGCACTGGGCGAACTGCCTGGCGCCAGCAAACCTACTCGACGCAGCAAGCTGTCGGGGATGCCTTGCAGTCCCATGCGCACTCCTCGTGCATGCTCGCTGCCTGGCGGCAGACGGCTACGCCTATGTGCTCTGCCTTGGCTGGGCTCTGGGGCACGCCCCATGGGACCGCGCCCCGAAGAAAAGCGACGGGGTCTTCGCCAACATCAGGACCGACGCCATGGGACCACCCCGGGGCAGGATAATCGAAAGAAAAAATGAACCGCTGCCCGCCCCTACCGTCCCCCCAAGAGGAACAATTCACCGCGCCTGGGCTGCGCGCCCCCGCCCCCCCCCCTGGGCCTGCGGGCGGGGCCCGTTGCGGGCTGCAGCCGGTGCGGCCCTACCGCGGAAGCGCCGTGGGCACGCACCTGTTGGGGCCGCGGGTGCAGCCCCGCATGGGGCGCAATCCGTGCGAGGGGGCGCCCGCGTTGATTTGCGGCGCTCGCAGCAACGTCAGCGGGCGGCCACGACGGGCCGCCGGCAGCGCGCAGCAGGCAACGCAGCAGCGGCGGCCGCGAGCGGAGGAGGGAGGGGGTGGGTGGGTGGGGGAAGAAGAGGAGGGGCAGAAAGCCACGCGTCAACAAAGAAGGTTTCACGAAAAAGCGGCACCGACAAAACCCCCTGCTGTGCATTCTACATCCAGAAATAAAGTTGGCTGGTGTCTACATGCGCTCCTCCGAAAGATGCCGTCACCCGTGTCGTGGTTCCTTCCCGAGTTATCGATGTGTGTCGGCGAACTCCACGCAGGTGGCTGTTCCCCCAGACTCTTGCAGGGCCTGCTGCTCGATTGAGTCCATCTCATCGGGATCGCGCTTGACATGCTGGTCCGCGTCGCAAAGAAAACCTCACTCAGGCTTGCCACTACCGAAATTTCCAACATCTGCGTCCATCTGGTCGTCGGCGTCGCCGAGAACTGGGACTTTCGACGAACGCAGCGCGCGCAGCTTGGCCTGGGCATCCGTGCTGATGAAACTCTCAAACACTGGGTCGTCAATCTCAACGGTGAGAACATCCACTTCCTGTAATGCTGTCAGAATGGGTTCGCCGCCACCCACCGCGTTAGCATGTTTTTTTTTGCCTTCTCCTGCAGGGCTGCAACACTTGCTGTCTACGTTTCACGAGTGATTTTTTTGTCCACTGCGCTCACCTGCAATTGCTTGAGCTGTTCCTCCTTTTACGCAATGTTTTGGCTAAGCGGTCGACCGACGACCTGGCGTTGTATAGACCCTGCTTGCGGTGTGCCACGGCAGGGGGCCTGTGATCCTTCAGCTCGTTTTTGGTGGCGCTTGCTTTGGACTGCAAGGGCCTCCTTAGATCGTCACCCGGCTCACCAGCGGGAAGAAACTTGAGCGAAGCCCCGAAACGAACCACTTGCGCAGCACATCTCCTGAGCAGAAAATTCTGTATGACCTGGCGCACCACATGAGCACCGCCTGACTTCGGCTCGACCGCCATTGGGTGAGGCTTCGCAACATTGGACCAAGGCGGCATCGCCAGCTTCTCGGCTTTGCCACCCCTTCCCCGCAACAGCTTCTCGACCTCAGCCAACCGCTTGCCAAGGTCTCTGTAAAAGTTGGGCGCGCTGCTTCCGGGTAGGTCAACTCCTCTCGCCGAGCGCCTTGTCATCCCGCATTTTCTGATTGTCCTACGCTGCATTGCGGATGCGAGCGGGAGCATCATTGCCGCAGGCGCACTTGATCGTGCACGCCCATTTCGCGCTCGCGGCACAGCGCCCGCAGGCCCACGTGTGGCGGCGGGGGCCGCGTAGCACAGTGGGCTGCGTTGGCTGCAGCGCCATGGCTCGGCTTGCTCACCCCAGCCGGACGCGAAGGAGGCCGACTGCAGAGCTTATCGGCTGGGTCGGTGGCCCCTGGCAAGAGTGGAAAGACTGGCTGGCCGCGAACTAGCGTATCCGCGCTCTACCACGGGCAAAAGACATCTTGAACATAAATGGCTTCTGAGAAAGGGGGGGCGCGGGGGGGACACATCGACCTTGAAGCGGCGATGCATCGCCAATTGAGCAGGAATCGGCCCTCGATAGCGAATCAGCGCGTTCGTGGGCGGGATAGGCCATCAGGTCCCCAACGGCAATCCATCGGCAATGTGAGGGCGATGCACCCCCCCCTCAGCCAGTCCGACCCCAACGTTGCCCCTGCGGATTGGGGACGAGAAGTCGCCTGGGTGATCCTCGTCGTCTGATTTTCGGATCCAAACTATGGTATCTGGCGGCCGGTCGGGATGGCATAGGCAACCCCAGAATGGTCTCGCCGAGGCGCAGCTTCTGAAGAGCACCCCGAGGCTGGAGAACCGCTGAATCAACGAAAACGCCTGAAAACCAAAATCGATCGACCCCTGGACCTCTCAGGGGGTGCGTTCTGACGAGAAGAGGTTCAATGCGATTTGTTTCTGCGCGTTGGGATTACCATCGACTCGGAATCGGCGATACATCGCCGATAGATCGGCGATAGGACCCCGACAGCGACATCCGCAATCTCCCAGGCGGGTTGGGCAATCGGGCTTCTATCGGCAAGGAATGGGCGATTGGAAGTGGATGCATCCCCCGGCCCTGAGCCCATCCACCCGAACGCTACCGTCGGCCTCCAGAAACCTGTGGAGGCAGATGACGACGTCGGTCATTGTCGTCGCCGTCGCGGTCGCCGCTGCCGCGGCGAGTGCGTCGTATTCGTCCTCGTCGCCTTCGTAGTGTGCGTCGTCGTCGGAACACGGGGGGGGGGGGAAACACTCTGCTTCACCCCAAACCCCAGCGAGCCGAAGGTTACTCAAGCGAACCAACCGAATAACAGCAACAACAGATGCAAATGGTACGGGACTAAAACATCGAGGATCGTGGCCGTCGGGGGCCAGGGTAGCGGTATCGGTATAATATAATTCCTCCTCAACGCTCCCCCCTCTTCCTCCCCGCTTGGAAGAAGGGGGAGATGTCCCCAGCACCAAGTCGGGGACGTCCAACAGATGGCCGTTCAAGAGGGGATGTCCCAAATCATTGCCCGAGGCATGTGTGCGGACGAAGGGGGGGCGAGGGGGAGCTGTGAAGGACGGCAGAGAAGACGAATAACATAAGAGAAGGGGACGTAACTTCTTAGAAGTTCGATGGCCAAAGCCAAGACGGCCAGCGCCCAACGCAATGAGATGCGCACTCTCCTCAATCATCATAAGCACGCCGTCGTCGCCCTCCATCCCTTCATCCTTCTCCTGCCTCTCATCATCACCACCATCATCATCAGCAACAACAGCAACAACAAAAACAACGACAACTGCAGCAACAACAGCAACAACATCATCACCGTCGTCGTCATCATCGACACCATCATCGTCAACCGTCACCTCCCCCCCTGGCCAAGCCACCACCGAGGGGCGTCCTGCTCCGCGTCCCGGTTGGGAGGCGCGGGTGCGCCGGGCGCGGCTGACGCCAGGGGCGTTGCCTGGGGCCGAAAGGAAAATGCCCAGGCGCAGCGAGATGCTCATCCTCCACCATCATCAGCAGCATCGTCATTCTCCTCCTCCAAATCATCATCACCACCAGTCACCATCTTCTTCGTCGTCCTCATCGTGGACAGCGTCACCATATATATATATATGTAATGTAGGATCTAGAATAAAAAAACCTCCTTTGGGCGAAGAATAATAAATGTTTTGGCGCTGGGAAATCGCCGACGACCCGCGCGACCGTCAAGGACGAAGAATAGCGCCCGTGCGCTTCCGGATCAAAAATTACTTGAAATGATAAACGAGCGATGGATTCAGATGACAGACGACTTCTTGTGAACAAGAATTTGGGACGAGAAACAATTCTGAACACGAGCAACGCGGGTACAAACAACGTGAGACGTGAATGTAAACAACATAAGCCGAAACCGCGTAAACGTACGTAACATCACTCTGAACAATGCGGGCAAACGTGCACGTGACGAATGTGAGAAAAGATAACAATTACCCGTATCCAATCTAAAACGGCACGGCCGCACACCCAGCACACCAGGAAAAAAAATAAGAATTAGCAGTTTGCAATCTGAAACGGCACGGTTGCGCACCAAACACACCAGAAGAAAAGGGAAATAATTAAGAATTTACATTCTGAAACAATATGGCCGCGCAACACAAGAGAAGAAAACACATAAGAATTAGCAAATTGCAATCTGCAACGGCGCGGCCGCGCATGCAATGCACCAAAAAAAAGGGTGACTGAACAATATACATTCTGAAACGGCACGGCCGCGCACCCGGCATATCATAAGAAAAGAATAAGAATTAAGAGATTGCAATCTTGAACGGCACAGCCGCGCACCCAACACAGCAAAAGAAAAGCAAAATAATTAACAATTTGCAATCTGAAACGGCAGAGCCGTGCACCAAACAAACCAGAAGAAAATCATAAGAACTAGCGGTTTGCAATCTGAAACGGCACGGCCTAATGATTTCTTCTCGTGTGCAGGGTGCGCGGCCGTGCCCTTTCAGAATGTAAATTCTGAATAGTTTTTTTTTTTCTGGTGCGCGTTGTGCGCGGTCGCAACGTTTCAGATTGCAAGTTATTCATTATTATGATGTTCTTCTTGTGTGCTGGGTGTTTCAGATTGCATCTTCGTAATTCTCATATATGTATATATATATATATATATATGTTTGTGCGCTTGCTATCGTTTTTTGCTTGGGTGTTCGGTACGCGGCCGTGCCGTTTTAGATTGCAAATTCGTAGTTCTTATTATTTGCTTCTACTGTGCTCGGTGCGCGGCCGTGCCGTTTCATATTGCAGGCTGCTTATTCTGATTATGTTTCTTCTGATGTGCTGGGTGCGTGACCGTGCCGTCTTAAATTGCAAATTGCTGATTCTTACTATTTTCTCCTAGTCTGTTCGGTGCGCGAATAACAATTTATAGTCTGAAAAGGCGTCTCGCGCACGCACCAGACCCGAAGAAAAACATAAGAATTAACAATTACATTCTGAAACGGCACGGCCGGTCACCGAGCACACCAGAAGAAAAGCATAATAATAAACTGTTTGCATTCTGGAACGGCACAACCGCCCACCCAGCAGACCAAAAGAAAAGTAGAATAACAAGCAGTTTGCAATCTGAAACTGCGCGACAGCGCTTCGAGCACACGAACAAGAAACCGTAAGAATTAACAAATTCTAATCTGAAGCGGCACGGCCGCACCCCAGCACATCAAACGAAAAGCATAATAATTAAGGATTTTTATTCTGAAACGGCGCGCACGCAGCGCACCAGAAGGAAAGGATAAGGATTAAATATGTACATTCTGAAACGGCACGGCCACGCACCCAACAAACCAAAAGAAAAACATCAGAATTAGCAAATTACCATCTGAAACAGCGCAGTCGCACATCAGAAGAAAACCATAAAAATTAGCACTTTGCAATATGAAACGGCGCGGCCGCGCACGAAGCGCACCAGAAGAAACGAATAAGAATGTAATTGACATTCTGAAACGGGACGGCCACGGGACGACCGCGCACCCAGCACGCCCAAGGAAAAAAAAAAAAAAGTTTGCAATCTGGAACGGCACAGCCGCGCACCCAGTACACCAGAAGAAAAAGACGAGAATTACCAATTTGGAATATAAAACGGCACGAGCAAATTCGAATCTGAAATGATACGGCTGCGCACCGAGCACACCAGAAAAAAATCACAAGAATTAGCAATTTCGAATATGAAATGGCGCGACCGCACACCAAGCGCAACAGAGGAAACTGATAATAATTAACAATTTAGGTTCTGGAGCGGCACGGCCGCGCACGCAGCACACCAGAAGAAAAGGATAATAATTAACAATTGACATTCTGAAACAGGACGGCCGCGCACCCAGCACGCCAGAAGAACAACATAATAATTAAAAAGTTTGCAGTCTCGAACGGCACAGCCGCGCACCCAGCACACCAGAAAAATTATAATAATTAAGAATTTTCATTCTGAAACGGCACGGCTCCGCATCCAGCGAACCAGAAGAAAAGCATAAGAATTGGCAAATTGCAGTCTGAAATGGCACGGCCGCGCACCCGACACACCAGAAGAAAAACACAAAAATAAATTAATTACATTTTGAAACGGCACGGCGGCGCACCCAGCAAATGCGCGGTCGCGGGCGGCGCGCCCGGCAACCAGAGCTGTCGGGATACGCCCGAAATCGCTCTGAGATCTTGACCCAAAAAGGCAACGGAGGAGTGAGGGAGAGGATGACAAAAGAAGACACAGCTGCTGCCGCTACTGTACTCCTTATATTATAATTCTGCTCCTGCTGCTGCCGCTTTCGGTGACCTTACCTGCCGTAATCCGGTCGTGTCCGAATCTGTTTGTTATAATATTGCCGTGTGTATTCTAAGATATATGCGCATGTCTACAATAGCCAATACCCAAGAGAAAGCAGGACATCCTCAAAAGGAGGACCAGAAGGGGGAATCCAAACAGACATTTGGGGTCTTCGGCCACAGAACGCCCCCCCAGGAGGCCCCCGAGACGCCCTAGAGAAGCCCCGAGGTGTCCCCAGGGAGCCCTGCGAGAGCCTTAAAAAAACCCAAGAGGCTCAAAAAATGTTCCCAAGACGCCCCCGAGAGGCTTCCGAGACGGCCCAATAGCTCCCCAATATCCCTACCAGATGACACAAGAGGCTCCCGAGAAGCCCCCGAGCGGGTTCCAAGTACTTCCACAACGAAGCACCAAGACGGCCCAAGGGAGCCCGAGGATAGCCTCAAAAGGAAGCCCGGAAGGGGAATCCGAACAGACACGTGGAGCCTTCGGCCCCAGAACGCCCCCCCCAGACGACCCCCGAGACGCCCCAGAGAAGCCCCGAGGTGTCCCCAGGGAGTCCCGCGAAAGCCCTCCAAATAATAATAATATATATATATATATATAAACCGAGAGGCCCAACAAATGCCCCCCAGACGCCCCCGAGACGCTTCCCAGGAGAACCCATCAGCCATCTGAGCGGCCTCGGACCCACAAAACAAACGGTGGCGGGATGGCAAGATCGGACAAACAATCGGACATATAATCGGTGGCGGGATGGCAATCTCTTCTCTACTGATTTGCCTGCAAAGGCTGCGTTGCAACTGAACCGAATGCATCGCTCTACCACTCAACGGCTCGAAACAGCACATTCGGCACGTCCTCACTGCACAGAGCAAACGAATTGAAACGAGTTAACAATATCCATGCTCCTCGGACGATGCCTCTGACGACACGGAAGATTCCGAAACACCTGGCTCGGGATGGCAATATCGGGCAAATGTCGGACAAATAATATCGGAAGCACCCGCAACAATCGGGATGGCAATATCGGGCAAATGTCGGACAATATTCCGAAACACCTGGCTCGGGATGGTCATATCGGGCAAATGTCGTCGTCGTCGTCGTCGTTGGCGACGACGACATCCTTTGGGCGAAGAATAATAAAATACTCCCTGCCGGGGGCGCTACCCCCCCCCCCGGGAGGGGTCAGGGGGGGGGGGGGGGGGGGGGGGGGGCGCTTTATACTTCCGGACCCTACATTATATATATATGCCTTAGCAGCTCTATCCCGCGGCCAAGACGGATTCACAAAGACAGGCAGACAGACGATCGTTTTTCCCGCGCGTTGTTCTGTGGCGGGACTCTCGCCGCCGGCGTTTAAAGGCAAGTGCGCCGTGGACCCAACAAGTCGAGGCCGGCTGCAGCTGCTGCAAGCCTCGCGGGATCCGAGAGGGCACGACTACTTCCTGGGAGGGTGGGCTGGGAGCATAAGCTCTCGAGCTTAAACGGATACGGAAAAGGTTTAAATCACGTTGTTGTCACAGAAACTCATTCAAACCTGCGGCCACTCTCTGACGCCGCCTTGCATTCCACAGTGAAACAGAATACATGCCTTAGCAGCTCTATCCCGTGGCCAAGACGGATTCACAAAGACCGGCAGACAGACGATCGTTTTTCCCGCACGTTTTTCTGTGGCGGAACTCTCACCGCCGGCGTTTAAAGGCAAGTGCGCCGTGGACCCATCAAGTCGAGGCCGACAGCAGCTGCTGCAAGCCTCGCGGGATCCGAGAGGGCACGACTACTTCCGCACTTGTCCAAAGTTTGGCGTCTCAGGGTGGGTGGGTCGGGTAAATCCCCCCCCCCCCCCCACGGGCGGTGTTGAGGCGTCAGCCTAACCGCGCGCGGGAAGATTTGCAGATATCAGAGGCTGCACGTGCATTTGAAAAAGCGCGGGCCAAGTGGGAGCACAACTCAGTGGGATATTTATCAGCTTTCTTCGTCAAACATCCACGCGGACCGTCGAAGCCAGACAAGGTAAGATGAGGCATTCCAGTTCGGCAGCAGCGTCGGCCCGTACACCTTCTGTGGATATCGGTCAGGTCGATGCGGCAGCCCAAGAATCTCGTAGGTTTCTTCCACTTCTCACCGAACATGCAGAAGCAAGTGTCAATGCAGGAGGCCGGTCGCCACGCTCTGGCTTTGAGAAGGCGCGGGGGCAGCCAGAGCCGCGAGGTCACTGGGTTCTCCAGGGTGACTGGGCGCTGCTGGTGCTTGAGCTGCTCGAGGATGCTGATGCTCAGCCTGGCCAGCTCGTTGCCCACCCGGACGGCCTCCGGGTCAGCAGGGTGCAGCAGCTCTGGGAGGCCGAGCAGGTGCTCGTCGCTCCTGAGCCTGGAGGGCGGCCCAGGCCGCGGCCGCTGCGGGTCGCGGATCGGACCCCGGTCGCGGGCCCGGCTCCAAGTGTTGCAGGGCGCCCCCAGGTGCGCGCCCCAGATCAGCCCCCCGGCGATCCACCCGCGAATGAGCTGCTGGTTGGGCTTCAGCATCAGGTCCCAGCTCGGGCCCCGCAGCACGTCCCACTCCAGCACCAGGTGCCCGAGCTTCCTGAGCTCTGCGGCGAGGCGCCCGCAACCGCTGAAGATCTCTAGAAAGACCTGCGGTCGCTGCCTCGCCCCGCGATGGGCGGAAAGGAGGCGTTCGAAGGCCGCCCTAGGAGAGTCCGCAGGCGCGCGGGCGCCCCCATTGCCTTTGCCGGCACGGGCGCGGGCAATCGGTGGAGCTGCTCCGACACCCGACCCTCCTTTCGGTATCGCTGCACGGCGGCGTCGCTCATCCACCGCCCGCGCAGCTTTATCTCCGCCAGCGCGCGACTGCCGATGGCCTGGTCGAAGGAGGGGCCGCTGCGCCTCAGCATGTACAGCTCGGGCCGAAGCACCTCGATGCCGCACCGCTGCCCGGCCAGTCGAAACCTCTGGATGAAGTCGGCCTGGCTGAAGGCGAACGGGCACTGCTGTGGCGGCGTGCAGGCTCTCAGCCGCGCCAGCGCGGTGTCGAGGAGCAGCTTGAAGTCCGGCGCGTCCACGACCACGGTCTCGTCGAACTGGCGCGTCTTGCTCGCGACCGTGAACTCGAACGGGTGGAGCACCAGCGACCAGTTGCCGTACCGGCTGCCCCTGAGAGGCGGCACCATCATCTCCCGCTTCAGCTTGAAACCCTCGCCGGGCCTGAAGTAGCAGTGGAAACTCAGCGCCACCAGCACGGCTGTCGTGCAGTACCCGTCCAGCACCAGCTGCTCCGCGAGCAGCGCCACCGCCTCCCACGGCAGCGGAAGGCGAGTGCGGCCTGGCGCGAGCCGGCGCCACCCGCGGAGGGACTGCCCCGCTCGCGGCAGGCTGCGACCCCCGGACTTGCCGAAGGCGGGCAGGTGGAACTTCGCCACGGCCATCATCTGCGACCCGACGTACGCCTGCTCGAGGAACTCCTCGTCCATCCAGAGAGCCAGCCAGTCGTCGAGGTGGTCCTCGAACGTCGCCCCCCGAGCCTCGCGCTCCCGAAGCTGCACCGCCTCGGGCGCGCACGCCAGACGGCGCCACTCGAGAAAGCGACGCCAGGCCATCTCGTACTTGGCCAGAGTCAGAGCCGTCACCGAGCGCTGCTGTAGGCGAGTCCGCCCCGCCGGGGGAGCCCCCCGCGAGGCCACCTGCCTCTGGCGCCGCTGCGCACGCGCCCGACGCGCGCCGAACTGAGGCGGCGGCCGCTCCGCCTTCGGTGCGGCAGCCCGCGGCCGGCGAGCAGCAGGCAGACGCCGCGTGGCCCCCGCTCCAGACTGGGGCCACGGGCCGCCGCCGTCGCCGCGCGGCAAGGCCGCCTCCGGCGGGGCCGTCGGCGTCCAGCTCGCGGAGCTCCGCGCCAACGGCTTGGCAGTCTCGGCGGTGACTACCCTCGGCTCCGCCACGAACAGGCCAGCGGCTCCCCTCGACAGCGTCGGCGCCACAGACGAACGGAAGGCGGGCGCCGATGGGCACGTGCCGCCGCGAGGGGGCATCAGCAGGGTTGCGCTCCGAAGGCAGCCGGCGCAGCGTCGGCGCGAGCGCCCCCGCGAGGCACCGCGCCGCCCATTGCCGCGCGACCCGCGTCAGGCCAGGCGACGAGGACCGGCCCTTGGTAAGAGCCAACACCGATGACAGGCTGTCTGACAGGAAGAGCACCCGCTTTCCGAACATCCGGCTGTCCCCCAGGGCGTGACTTACGGCATGAACGAGGGCCCGACCTCTGAGAACCACGATGTGCTCAGGACGTCCCCAGCCCCCGCTCGACGCGACCTGCCACTCCCCGTCGAGCACCGCCGCCGGCGCGTCGAGCACCGGGCTGGGCCCAAGCGGGCCCGTCGGCGCCTCCTCGCCCAGGCAGCCCCTGGGCCGCGCTGGCCCCGCGGTCCCGGGCGGCCCGCGAAACCTCCAGCGATCGCTCTCCTGGCCCAGAGCCCGCGCCCAGCCGAGGCCCACCTCCCGCTGCACGACCCCGCGCCCCTGCTCACTGGCGTCGGTGGCGTACACACGTGTCTCCCACTCGGCCCGCAGATTTGCCCACAAGAGCGGCAAAAGACCTACGGCCCAGCGAAGCTCCCGGCGAACTCCATCCGACAACGGTCGAGCAACGTCTCTGTACTTAGTGGCGAATCGATACACTGAATCGAAGATTGACAGAAAGGGCCTCCGAGCGAGCACCGCAAAAGTGAAATGACCTACGATCCTACTGACCTGTCTACCTGTGGCCACCCCCCCGGTCGAGAAGGGCCATAGTCCCTATCCTCAGACGCCAGAGCCTTCGGGCCCGCGGCCTCAGGACGCCCCGAGAGCCCTCGAATTCCCACCCAAGACTTTCGAAAACCATGGAGGCTTCTTCGGGCTCATGCAAAGGCAGACCAGCAGCGGACAGCGACTCCGTCGCTTTAGCCGGGAGCTCGTTGGCCCGCTCGGCGGAGGTGGCGAAGCCAAAAAAAATCAACATATTCGGCGCGCATCCCGAGGCTCAGCGGAGGTGGGACCCGACCGTCGACAAGACGATCGCTCTCCCAAACCCGCTCGCTCGCACAACGCAGTCTCATGTACACGCTGACAAAAGGCTAGAGCATGGGACCACCCCATCGGAAGGACAGCAAAGCGGTGCTTAACCCAATCACGAGGACCGAGAGGCTGTCCCTCCAGCTCAGTGATCCCGAGGTCTCCAGCCCGGACGCGAGGGAGGGCGAAGAAGGGGCGGAGGGCGGAGGGAATGCCCATGTGATAGACTGCGCCACAAATGCCAACGCCTGACATCCACAATTTTTTTCCTCCAGGAATCTCAATGGAGGACAGACTAGCACCTCGTGCCAAAGATGCGTGCTCGGGATCTTCAAAATGAAAGTTACTGCCTCGACAGTCAACGACCAGTCTCTGCGAACCATTCTTTTTCCACGCCGCAAACAAACCCACTTCCCCGCGCACTTCGACCGAATCGGGAACGAGGTCGAGCATGCCTGCGTCCAGCAGGCGTCGAGCGAACACCGCACGGAGCGCTGGATCACGCAGGCAGGGATCGAGGTAGGGCTTGGAAAACTTAACATCAGCCTTCCGCTCCGCAGCAAGCCGACTTGGCAAAACCTTGCCGTCGAGAAAGACCTTGACAAAATCGGGGCCGTTCCGCCCAAGCAGATCCTCCAGAGGGCGCGCGACTGCACCCGCCTTCGGCAGCGAGACGAGGTCGAATGTCAAAGGGGCCAGCGTCTGGGGCTCTTCAGCGCCGTATAAGCTGGACTGACCTGCAGCTCCCGCAAGGCTGCGTCGGCCGTGGGGTCAGGCGGAGGGCTGCCCAGCTCTGCGCAGCAGCTGGTGAGGTGCTCGAGCGCCAGCTCCTGAATGCGACAGGGCGTCGCCAAAGGCCGTCGCCGAAGTTGATCGTCCCCAGCGCCCATCTGGTTCAAGGCCTGAACCAGGTCACAGAGCAGCCCCGCCTGGCGCGCCCGCCCAGCAGCACGGCCTCGGCTGCGACGCCCGCCAGTGCGTCCAGCCGCAGCCGAGCACCAGGCTGGCAGCGGCAGCGGCAGCAGCGACCGGTTGCGGCCCCCGCCAGCCGCCACGCCCCCCTCGGTCACGCCGCGCGGGTCGGGGAGTCCCGGCGGCGGGTGGTGCGTCATCCCTTCGCGGGAGGAGCCTTCTTGGCCAGGGCGGCCTGCTCCTCCCGCAACTTCCTCGCGTTCTTCTTGATGCCTGCGATCCTCTCCAACTCCTTCGCCACCTGGCCCAGCACTTCTGGACGCGCCATGCTGGCGGCTCGGCCCCCCCCCCATGAAGGCGTGCACTTCGTCCAGCGGCAGCTTGGAGTTGGCCTGCTGCTGCTCCTGCCGCCGCTCGTCCCAGTAGTATTCGATCAGCTGGAGCTTCCGGTACGCCACCTCCACCCCCGCCAGGTTGTAGATGTCCACCTGGTCGGTGGTGCCGAGCAGCTCGACCACCTTACTCAACGTCTCGTGCTCGGCCACCCCGAAGTCGCTGTCCTGAAGTCGGCGCCTGCTCTTCCACATCTCTAAATGGAGCACCGGCCCTCCGTTTCGCTGCTGGTAGGCCGCGCACCACTTCACCGACCTCGGGGCCTTCACGCCGAAGTCCTGGACATCCTCCTCGCGGCAGTCGGTGACGACCGAGGCCCACGATCGCTCTCGGCCGATCGCGGTCCTCACCACGGGCAGCGTCCGTGCATCTGAGCCCCTGAACTCCCGCTTGAGGTGCTCGATATCCGTGTCCGCCACCAGGGCGACGAAGACCGAGTGCCCGCCGGGCAGGAGGGCCACCTGACGGCGACCGGCGCCGCCGGCGAGGGTAGGGCCTCCTGCCACGCCGACGTGCACCGGGTCTCCGTGCGCCACAAGCCCCGCCAGGTCCCCCAGCGCACGCCAGCTCCAACCCAGGGGGGCCAGGCCGTTCGCCGGGACGGCGATCGGCAGGCCATCTGGGATGGCCGGCGGCCGCCCCTGGGGCGCCGCGCCCGCGGCCGCAGCAGCGCCGGCGGCGGGGGCTCCCACGGGGACTGGCGCTGCGGGTGCCGCTGCCGCAGGCGGAGCCGGCGCCAGCGCCAGGCCAGGCGCGGGCCCGCCCGCGATCGGCGCCGGCGCGGCGAGCCAGGCCGCAAGGGGCACCACCGCCCCCGCTGGTGCCGCACCCGCAGCCGCGGCCCCTGGCCCGGCAGCCCCGCCCGCACCAGCCATCACGCCGGCGATCGACTCGAACGGCACGAACTCGTTGTCTGGGATCGGGGCTCCTGGGCCGCCAGCCGCTCTGTCGTCGGCAACCCACAGCCTCTCGGCCTCGGAGCGGGCGGCCGCCCGCATCGCGGCATACTCCTGGCCGGTGGGCTCGTCCCTGAACCTGTACACTTGGGCGCGCGGCAGTGTCGCTGGAGGCGGCCACCTCGTTGGACTGAACACTACGCGAGCGATATCCACGCTCATCGAGCCTGCTCGGTAGTCCTCCTCGTACACGTCAAGGTCTGGCGTCGCTATCAGGACTCGCCCCAGCTCAGTCGCCGAGCGCGCCCCGCGCCGGCAGCCCACTACCCGGCGCTGGTGGTAGACTGGGGCCCCCGGCACAGTGTACAGCACGAAGGCCCACTCGTCCAGGACTGGGGGCGGCAGGGCCGGCGGCGCAGCCGCGGCCATCCTCCGCGGCCGGCGCCGAAGTCGGCGGGCTCGCCCGGCGCGAGCAGGCCCGGCTGCCCGCCACGCCGAAGACGGCGGCGACCACGAGACCCCCGAGGAAAAAAAACCCCAGAAACACCGCCCAGGCGGGGCCGTGCGGCGAGGCGGCCCGCGGCGGCGCTGGCGGCGCGCCGGGGCAGGCCGGGCAGCTGGGGATCTCCCGCAGCGCCGGACAGGCTGGCACCGCAGGGCAGGCAGGCACCTCTGGGCACCTGCTCGCGGCCAGCACCTGCGACAGGCCGACCCAGTGGAGCGTTTCCCGCACCACCGCCTCGGCCAGCGCCGTCTGCATTCCCCGCTGGCACCGCCCGTGTAGCACCTTTCAGCACAAACTCTCGAGCTTAAACGGATACGGAAAAAGGTTTAAATAGTGTTGTTGTCACAGAAACTCATTCAAACCTGCGGCCACTCTCTGACTCTGCCTTGCATTCCACAGTTATATATATATATATATATATATGCATATTATTATTATTATTATTATTATTATTACTATTACTATTATTATTATTATTCATGTTCCTCCCCATGTGCATCCTCATTATCCTCCTCATCGTCATCATCATCACCAGCATCATCGCCATCAGCACCGCCATCATAGCCAACACCCTCCGCAACAAGCTGGTGCCCCATGTTTCCATCATTACCACCATCATCCTCACCACCACCAGCATCGTCCTCCTCCTCCTCCCTCCTCCTCCTCCAGACAACCGTATCGTCCTCATATTCCGCCTACTTCGGGAAGGATGAGAGCGCACATCTTCATATGTTTCAGAACCCCCTGGCTTGCGACCAGCAGCCCCTGACCCAAACTGGGGGAGAACGAACCTCCGCTAGCCGTTCCGTTCCTGGCCCAGACCGCGTCGCAATGCAGAGAGGAAAACGAAACTGGAACAGGATGTAAACAACGAAGGAAAAACGACGGGGAAGCGCGCGTGTCCCTGGCCTGGCCCCCCCGCGCACTGGCACGGCATGGCTCGGCCGACGAGCCGCACAACACGGCCAAATGCCGCCGGGGGAACACGCCCCGGGCTGGCATTCGTCATGGAAAAAAAGGATGCGGAAGAGGAGGCGGAGGAGAAGGAGGAGGAAAAGAACACGGAGGAGGAGGAGAGGGAAAGGGAAGCGGACGAGGAAGAGGAGTGGGCGTGGGAGTAGGAGCGGGAGTCAAGCTAGCCAGCTCGAGCGAGTCAAGCATGGCATGCCCAGTCCCACCCGCCCTCCCACAACATAAGAAGCAAAGCTGGCACAACTGGGGGCCGAAGTCACACCGGCCAGCCGGTTTGGTACAGCTGATGCGGCCGCGATGGCGGTTGCCGACGGGAACTGGCGAGCGCGTGTTGAATGCCGCGCACGCATTGCCAGACGAGTCGAGAATGGCCCGGTACACCGCAGGAAGCCAGAGGTGGCCGGAGGAAGCCCGACGGTCTGACAGGACACCCCAAAGCATTTTTGTGAAAAAGCATTGGGTTTTTGATGTTTTTATGTTGAAATGCTTGCAAACACACGGTGTTCGGTAGGATTCTGACATGAACGCGCGAGTGTGCTCTTTGTTGTATTTTTTGCACAGGATTCGCGGCCTGGGTGCATGACAGAGCATCGCGAGTGCACCGCGCGATGACGTGAAATCGCTGGATGTGACCGAATTCTTAAGATTCCTATGGTTTTCCTATGATTTCAGCAAGAGAGCCCGGGCGGGAAATTTGTACAATTTTTGTGAAAAAAGCATTCGGTTTTTGATGTTTTTCCCCATATCCTAAGGATTGGGGTTCTTGTTATTACTCTGACGCCTCCCACTCCTCCTCCTCCTCCTTCTTCCTCCCGCTCGCGCCTCCCTCCTCCCAATGATAATCACCAGATAAGACAAGACAATATAAGATACTACAAGATAAGATAAGATAGCACAAGGTATGATAATAAGAGATTTCAAGATAAGATAAGATAAGTTAAGTTCACACTCGCACTCTCTCATGATCACAAAACGCTGCCAGGGGCATCATTTGGGAGCCCCAAGGGGGAGCCACCCTGGCTGTTCTCACGAGCCCGTTCGCGCCGATTTTGGTGGGACGTCTCAGCTAGAATTGCCGTTTGGCGCCCCCAACATGTATCTCTTGAGAGCCTCATGGTCACAAAACGCTGCCAGGGGCATCATTTGGGAGCCCCAAGGGGGAGCCACCCTGGCTGATCTCACGAGCCCGTTCGCGCCGATTTTGGTGGGACGTCTCAGCTAGAATTGCCGTTTGGCGCCCCCAACATGTATCTCTTGAGAGCCTCATGGTCACAAAACGCTGCCAGGGGCATCATTTGGGAGCCCCAAGGGGGAGCCACCCTGGCTGATCTCACGAGCCCGTTCGCGCCGATTTTGGTGGGACGTCTCAGCTAGAATTGCCGTTTGGCGCCCCCAACATGTATCTCTTGAGAGCCTCATGGTCACAAAACGCTGCCAGGGGCATCATTTGGGAGCCCCAAGGGGGAGCCACCCTGGCTGATCTCACGAGCCCGTTCGCGCCGATTTTGGTGGGACGTCTCAGCTAGAATTGCCGTTTGGCGCCCCCAACATGTATCTCTTGAGAGCCTCATGGTCACAAAACGCTGCCAGGGGCATCATTTGGGAGCCCCAAGGGGGAGCCACCCTGGCTGATCTCACGAGCCCGTTCGCGCCGATTTTGGTGGGACGTCTCAGCTAGAATTGCCGTTTGGCGCCCCCAACATGTATCTCTTGAGAGCCTCATGGTCACAAAACGCTGCCAGGGGCATCATTTGGGAGCCCCAAGGGGGAGCCACCCTGGCTGATCTCACGAGCCCGTTCGCGCCGATTTTGGTGGGACGTCTCAGCTAGAATTGCCGTTTGGCGCCCCCAACATGTATCTCTTGAGAGCCTCATGGTCGCAAAACGCTGCCAGGGGCATCATTTGGGAGCCCCAAGGGGGAGCCACCCTGGCTGATCTCACGAGCCCGTTCGCGCCGATTTTGGTGGGACGCCTCAGCTAGAATTGCCGTTTGGCGCCCCCAACATGTATCTCTTGAGAGCCTCATGGTCACAAAACGCTGCCAGGGGCATCATTTGGGAGCCCCAAGGGGGAGCCACCCTGGCTGATCTCACGAGCCCGTTCGCGCCGATTTTGGTGGGACGTCTCAGCTAGAATTGCCGTTTGGCGCCCCCAACATGTATCTCTTGAGAGCCTCATGGTCACAAAACGCTGCCAGGGGCATCATTTGGGAGCCCCAAGGGGGAGCCACCCTGGCTGATCTCACGAGCCCGTTCGCGCCGATTTTGGTGGGACGCCTCAGCTAGAATTGCCGTTTGGCCTCCCCAACATGTATCTCTTGAGAGCCTCATGGTCACAAAACGCTGCCAGGGGCATCATTTGGGAGCCCCAAGGGGGAGCCACCCTGGCTGATCTCACGAGCCCGTGACGAGAGAGAGAGAGAGCAAGAGAGAGAGAGAGAGAGAGAGGAAGCGAGAGAGAGGGAGAGGAGAGAGAGAGAGAGAGAGAGAGAGAGAGAGAGAGAGAGAGAGAGAGAGAGAGAGGAGAGAGAGAGAGAGAGAGAGGAGAGAGAGAGAGAGAGAGAGAGCGGAGAGAGAGAGAGAGAGAGAGAGGGAGAGAGAGGAGTTGAGAGAGGAGACAGGCGAGAGAAAGAGAGAAGAGAGAAGAGAGAGAGAGAGAGAGAGAGAGAGAGAGAGAGAGAGAGAGAGAGAGAGAGAGAGAGAGAGAAGAGAAAGAGAGAGAGAGAGAGATAGAGATAGAAGAGAGAGAGAGAGAGAGAGAGAGAGAGAGAGAGAGGAGAGAGAGAGAGGAGAGAGAGAGAGAAAGAGGAGAGAGAGAGAGAGAGAGAGAGAGAGAGAGAGAGAGAGAGAGAGAGAGAGAGAGAGAGAGAGAGAGAGAGAGAGAGAGAGAGAGAGAGAGAGAGAGATCGGACAAGTAGGCGGACCAGGGTCCGTCCGCGAGGCGCACTGCGGTGCGACAACTCGCATGCACTATTTGCGGCGGTGCAGCCTTTAGATACGAGGGCGGGCAACAAAAAAAACCCTCCCCCGGCGCAGTGCGACAGACGCTACAGACGGCGGACAGACGATGATGATCTCACCTGTCAGACCGCGTGAGGAAATAGGCCCCAACAAGAAAGGCGACGTGCTGACACGTGGCTAGGCGGCTTGGCAGACCGCCAGTTGGGCGCTTGGCCGCTAAGCGGCGCGCAGTGACGGGGCACCCCCCGCCCCCACGCCCTGACACCGTGGACGCGGAGCCACGCGTACACACGGGCAGGCAGAAAGGAGGAGATTAGCGCGGGGCACCAGGTGGAGCGCCGCGGAACGATGACAGCATAGCTTGGATGGTGAGTGACGGCACGGCACCATCGGGCGAGGCCGTGAGCAGCTCGGCAAAGGCTCGCCCAGCGCTGTGGAGGCGCTGGAGTAGAGGGCCTTGACGAGCTTGGGCGGCGGCGAGGTCCGCGGCGAGAGCTAAGCACCTCTGCTGGAGAGCAGCCATAGCCTGTGACAGCTCGGTTTCGCGGTCGGTGAGGGGTGGCTGCTCAGTGCCAGCAGCCGAGGGCCTCGAGACAGAGGCGAGGTCCTCGGTACGCCTGTCCAAATGGTGGACTAGCGTAGTGCGGCACCCTGTACGCTGTCGTCCGTCACCCTTGAAGGGTGACTGGAGGGGCCCACGCGACCCCAGGGCTGGAGCCGCTAGGGCCACGCCCCGAGAGGTCGGGAGAGCCGCTTCCTCTCGCTCAGCAACGATGGAAGCGTGGATGGGGCACGAGGGCCTGTCTGGTTTAGTACCCTGCGGGGGGGCTGAAGCCGCCCCCGCGGGCTGCCGGCGGTGGGGGGGCGGAGTGGTTTGCGCGGTGGGACCAGTCATGATGCCGTGCAAGGGCTCTGAGGTCGGTCGCGTAGAAGGTTGGCGTCTCGGTAGGGCGGCATGGTCGGCAGCGTGTGGTATCGGCGGTGCGTCCTCCATGCCACTCAGTCCGCGGGGGTCGCCCAGGTCATGGTCGGCGTCTTGGCGGTGGCCGATATCATCGTATGTGGGCGATGTCGCTCTCGGGGACGGAGTCGCAGTAGGGATCGAGAGGTTGCCCGACGGGGCGGGGTTTTCGCTGGCTGGTCCGTCGTCCAAAGCGTCCGATCCCCCACCGAAGCTGAACAGGTCATCCTCCTGTTCGTCAGCGTCTTGAAAATGAGCGGCGTTGTCATGTGGGTGCGCTGCCGCTCTCAATGGCGGAGTCGGGGGCGCCGTGCGGGTGCCCGACGGGGCAGGGTTGGCGCTGGCTGGCCCGTCGCCCAGG